AGAAGAGGGAGTCCCTGCGGAACCGTGGAGCCCCACCAGTGGCACCGGGGTGTTGCAGAGCTGCTGTGTGCCACCTCCTAGTGCCCTCCAGCAGCAACCCATGCCTGGGATCGCAGGATGATGGGGATGGAAAACAAGAGTAGCACTGAAAACAAAGCCCTGTCAGCTTGAGTTTCTCGTTTGTTGCCATGTGGCGCAGTACCTTTTTGTGCCTGGATTCTTATCGCTACCAAAGAAAGGGTTTATGTTATCTCAACACCACTTTTTTCATGGGGCGTTTTAAAAAACACTTCACTTGGGTCAGCAAGAAAGCTGCAACGTGGCTGGGGGGGTGCTGTGCCAGAGCCCAGTGTGCCAGTTGTAAAATGAGGTGCAAGGGCTTGCCTTGCCAAGCGTGGCCACGGAAGGGATAGGACTGGTACGTCTGGGGGGAGGCGCGGGGGCTGCCTGCCGAGAAGTAACGCTGGGCTCCTCTCCTCCCGCAGGCATGGCCTTGGCCCAGCGGCAAGTGGCGGTGCAGGAAGGGCCCCTCTACCGCACAGAGGGGTCCCACGTCACGCTGTGGTGCAAGGTGAGCGGCTACCAGGGCCCGGCGGAGCAGAACTTCCAGTGGTCCATCTACTTGCCCTCGGCCCCTGAGCGGGAGGTGCAGATCGTCAGCACTGTCGACCCCTCCTTCCCCTACGCCATCTACACCCAGCGCGTGCGCAGCCGGGGGATCTACGTGGAACGGGTGCAGGGGGACGCTGTCCTGCTGCACATCACCGACCTGCAGGACCGGGATGCCGGGGAGTACGAGTGCCACACGCCCAACACCGACGAGAGGTACTTTGGGAGTTACAGCGCCAAGATGAACCTTGTGGGTAAGCTGTCCTGTTAACAGCATGGCTGGGGCAACGGGGCATCTCCCAGCGGTGTGCAGCAGAAACCCATGAACCCCCCATGTGCGATGTAGTCCACATAAGCCATCAGAAAAAACACCAATGGGGAGAATAGGAGCAGAGAGCAGGGGGCACGGTGGTGTGAATTTCAGGAAATCACGGTATAGAGACATAGGAGAAATCAAGCTTTCTGTAGTAATAAGACCCTTATAAAGAAGAGAAACCAGGCAGCATAGCCGGAGAGAGGAACGTGTGAAGCCATGGCTGAAAGCAAGAGGGACATGGAGCTGATTTACGCAGAGAGAGAGGGGTAGAGAGGCTGCTCCAGATGGCACAAGCTGCAGAGGAGAGAGCTGTGTACCAAAGGTGGCAAAATAGCGGAGCGGGGAAGAGAAGAGCGATAACGAGCGGCACGTAAAGGGAACTGGAGAGATGGTCATCTTCAGGCTCTTAACAGAGGGCAGTGCTGAATGCGTCCTGAAACCAGCACACCGATCAAATTGAGTTGTCTGTAGATAAATGTGGGGGAGTTGGTTTTGGGCTTTTTTTTTGTCTGCGTTAGAAAAATCGAAAACAGGTTCTTTAAAATCTGGAGTATTTCCACAGCACCTCTCTGACTAGTTGATTTGACCTTTTCAAGCTTCAGCTTGCTTTCTGTGTCTCGAAATGGGATTGGATTTGAAGTCTTTAACTGGGCTAACAGCGGTCAAATAGCTTCCATCAAACTCTTTGGCTGAAGGACTCCTAAAAGAGCTCCTCTACAGCAGAGGTGCCCCTCTAGCAAATTTAAACCCACAGACAGCAGGCTTGTTTTCCTTAGGAGATGTTCGTGAGCCTGCTGGTCTCCGGTTTGGAAACCACGTTGGCATTATCCAGGTGTGGTAGCTGGTCAAGGTGTTGCCCGTGCAGGTGGTGTTGACACAAGAAACCTGTTGTGAAAGGAGCAGAGGTGTGAATTTAAATCACAATAGCCATCCTTTGGGCTGTGCTTCCTTGCCCTCCCACTTGTGTGCGCCTTGGCTCCTTCCCTTTGGAGGTGCCAGCCCAGCCACTCTCCCAGGCGAAGCCCCACAGCCTGGGTACAGGCACTTAACTTAGTTGCCTGCTTTCCCATCTGATGTCCATGAGCAGTCAGGAGGTAGATGCCTGAATACTTTTTTCTTTCTTTTTTTTTTTTTGGTAGTTTGGTGATTTGCTTCAGGTGTCCAGGTTTGCAGTTCCCACTTTAGTTTATACAAGTCTGAGTCAGCGCTGCTGCTGTAAAGTCACCTCAGGGAGTGAGACCTATTGAAAACCAACACCCTGTGGAAAAAAAGGTGCCTGGGGGCAGGGTGGGGTTGCGGTAGTCAGGGTTTGCAGCTGGGTTCCTCTGCCAGGGAGCTGCACTTTGTGGAAGGCAGCCCGTGAGCTGGGGTCCTTACAGGAGAGCCGTTAGAGCAAGTGAGAGTACCTGCGTTAGCCGCTGGCGTGGGGCACAGTGCGGGACAGGGATGCGGGCGAGTGTAGCCAGCGTGTCTGATGGCTTGGCAGCGGAGAGCTCCTCCACCGCTCTCCCCAGGGGCTGGGGAGCCAGTGCCCTCCAGGTTTTAACTGTAGCTCAGCAGCTTCTTCCGTGGCCAGCCTGGGGCTTGCTGAGTAAGATGCTTTTGCTCTGTCCCACCCTTGCCACTGGTACAAGGCACGTAAGGTTTGGGACTCCGTAGACACCCATGAATAGTGCTTTGAGGACATTGGCTTCGGGGCTTACGTGTGTCTGGGATGCTCAATAAAATTGATCTAAGGTAACTATTAGTGGATTAGTTAAATGACGTTATGCCCCTTCATGGATGCTTGTGCTCGGAATTTGGGACCCTAATTTGGTTTAGCTTAATTCATTTCTAAAAATTCACTTCAGAAGTGACTTAGGGTCTCTTGTGTTTTGAATGTGTGTATCTGCATAGGTGTTTTCTGTGGTTTAACCAAACTCTGGCAAACTGAATTTTCCAAAGTGCCCTTGCGATGACCTGTAGACAACAAGCCCTTACGGAGGACCTCCTCTTTGGCTTCTGTTCATGTGAACCGGTGCTGACTTCAGCCCTGTTGGACCCTGAAGTCCTGCTGGGGAAACAGACTCCTCTGTGCAGGGCTGGGCAGAGCACACACCCTTTTTTTTCCTGTCATTTTAGCTCTCAGCTACAGGTCATGGGTTTTCAGGCCAGCTTTGTTGCTGCAGACATTATGCAAAAAGAGGTACACGAGAGTTAAATGAGAGTTATTGTTCTCATTTTCTCAGAAACAGAACCAAACTTTTCTTTCATCCAGTTATGAATTTTTAATTGACTCATTAGATTGAGTGGCTCTTTTTTGGCAGCAGCAAAGCCTGGAGGGAGACAGGTTTGTTAGCATCTGTATTCTCTCTGTTTTTGTGTGAAATGGATGGGTTTGGAGCAGTGTTGATTTTAGACTTGCGGCTCTGGGAGCTTTGAGTTGTTGTGTCCTGTGGTTTGAGGGAAGAGTTGAAGGAAGAGTCTCCTCTTTTCAACCGGGCGATACAGCCCTGTGATGGGGGAGCTGGGAGTTTAGGGGGAGCTGGATGGGACGCTGGTGCAGCAGCATACGGGGCTGCTGTCTGCACCGGGACATCTCAGCTTGCAGCAGAGCAGCTGGGATGTGTCTTTGCTCCTGCTATCTGAGCAGCATTGAGGGCTGTATATCTAGGGCTCTGCAGCTGCTAAAAAATAGTCGTCAGCTTCAAAGATGTGCCAGTTGGGCTTGAAAGTACACTTCTATCCACCTCATGAACAGCAAGCATGGTTGGTTGTCCATCTCCCATTTTTGGTGTCTCCACTCGAGGTTCCTTTTCGTTCATTGAGATCTTGGCCAGGATCTAGTACCACTCTGAGGACCTGAAGTCTCTGAATGCCTGGAGTAAGAAGTGCTCCCCAGGCACTTTGTGGGACTCTTATCTGAATTTAGGCATGCAGTGCAAGTGCTAATCTCACTGAAGCTAGGAATGAGGCCAGTAATGTGGTTCAAGGGCCTTCTGCCATGGGGAAATGTGTATCAAGGCTTAACGTTTTTCACCAATCTTCCATTTACTTCAGTTGCTTCAAAAATAAGTCTGTATCTTGCTACCCATCTTCTCATCTCCTCCTGAGCTACATCATTGGGAAGAAGGAGTTATACCTGGGCTGCAAGTTGTGTTAGGAGGAAGAATTTAGGACATCTCAGACTGAGTTGCGGGGACTGAGGGAGGTGGCAAAAAAAAAAATGGGTTCAGCTCTTCAGGATGTTGTGGAACCGTGACCTTGTGATTGATTTATGAGAAAGGATTAGCCCACGTACAAAGTCTGCAACTCCATTGTTTGCCTTCAGAGTTCAGTTCCCTGGGGCTGACACAAAATTGCTGAGGCTAGTTCATGCTCTTTAACTCAGGGTGGGGGGAAAGAATTTTAGAAGATCACGCGAGTGGCCTCTCATTCATCTAACACCAGGCACATTGCCTAAGGTAGATGTTGAGGCAATATCTGCGATCAGAGGACAGAGAGGGACAAATCTGGAGAGCAACGCATCTTTGTTTAAATTAAATGCATTCTTCTCTAAGTTGACTAAAGAGAGAGCCTAGATGTTAGACTTGGGTTAGGCAGCTGGTGTTGAGTGAAATGAATTCTTCCAGTGGCTGAGGACTTGGCTGCTTTTGGAAGCTTCCCCCATGGGGTTCCTAAGCAACTGATGGAAATTTTGGCTTTGTAGTTGAATTGGGAAGACACTTGGGCATACTGAAGAGGGAAGTTACAAAACTGGATCGATTAAAAGGGGGATCTGGGGACCATGTACACCTGACTGGCAATTGTATCGGGGTCCTGGCCTGCTTGTTGCTGGCTGTGAAAAGTACATGGGCTGCTCCTTTGCTTTTTGAAGAAGTTAAGAATTTGCAGGTGAAAGAAAGCAGCATCCCAGTAACATAGCATCACCCCTGGCAGGACAGCAGTATTTTCAGATTGTCATTGGAATTATCCCTTGTCTTTAACTCTTGAAATATGGGCAGAAGGGGAGGTTTCTGTGCAGTAATTTAGGTGGTAAAGCTCCAGGCGTGCTGTGCAATCTGAGATGCTGGTTTGTACTTCTCATCTTATGTTGATGGGTAAATAAACTTGTGTTTTGCTGTGGGGTAGAAGTGAGCACATGGCAGTTACTTCAGAGTGCATGAGTCACTGCAAATTTGTACTCCACTATATCTCTGCAACGAGTTGTTTGTGTGCCTGTACCCTTACTTAGATAACAGCAAAGAGGCCCAGGTCTAACCTCTCAGAAGCTTCAGACTTTATCTCAGTGTTTTTTTATCTGTGCTCCCCAAAACATTGAGCTCTTTTTCAGAGTAAGTGATTTGAGGGAAGAAATCAAGCTTTGAGGTTTTTCTTAAAGATAGTGACAGAGTGGGAGAAAGGGTTTCAAAGCACTTGAGGGGGTCGCAGCTTTTGTACTCTTTATTTTGGGGGAAGCAGCTGTACAGCATCAAGCCTAAAGTAGTTAAAGCAAAAAATGAAAGTGGTTTGGATGGGGGAGAGACCACAACCTCCACGGTACTGCAGAGTAGGAAAGAGCAATTTTGGGGCAGACTTGAGAAACAAGCAGCATTCAGACATGGCTGTCTCAGTGGTGGGCCGGAGCTGCTTGTGGAGCTGGTAGTGCCTGCAGGGATGGTCACTGGGATCTCTTTCCAGCCAGGTGTAGGTGAAAGGGGGGCACAGAGGATTTGCGCTAGCTAGGTGCTATTCAGTGGCTCTCCTGTCCACCCTCTCAGCCTGGCCACACTTCTGCTGTCTGCTATTTCTCATTGGTCTCACCCTGCCCAGGTAGGCTAGTGCCTTGATCTCTGACCTGTTCCCCTGGGTCCTGCCTGGCTGTGACGGCTCCCAGGGGCTGGGTGTGGTTTTTTTGGCTGGCAGCCCCATTGTAGTGAAGTTTCAGCATCGTGCCAGGCTTGGGAGTGGTGGTGGGAG